CAGATGACGTCCAAATCTGTCACTCCTTCTCACCTGTCACCAAGGAGGCTGTCCAGACCTTGAACCGGTGTTTAGCCGCTGTATCGGACTGGATGAGAGCTAACAAATTGAAATTGAATCCAGACAAGACAGAGGTCCTACTGGTCAGTCGGAAGGCCGAACAGGGTATAGGGTTACAGCCTGTGTTAGACGGGGTTACACTCCCCCTGAAGACGCAGGTTCGCAGCTTGGGAGTGATCCTGGACTCATCGCTGAGCCTGGAACCCCAGGTCTCAGCGGTGGCCGGGAGAGCTTTTGCACAATTAAAACTTGTGCGCCAGCTGCGCCCGTACCTTGGGAAGTCTGATCTGGCCACGGTGGTCCACGCTCTTGTCACATCCCGGTTGGATTACTGCAACGCACTCTACGTGGGGTTGCCTTTGAAGACTGCTCGGAAACTTCAACTAGTCCAGCGAGAAGCAGCCAGATTGCTCACCGGAGCGGCGTACAGGGAGCACACCACCCCCTGTTGCGTCAGCTCCACTGGCTGCCGATCCAATTCCGAGCACAATTCAAAGTGCTGGTTTTGACCTACAAAACCCTATACGGTTCCGGCCCAGTGTATTTGTCCGAACGGATCTCCCTCTACATCCCACCTCGAAGTTTAAGATCTTCTGGGGAGGCCCTGCTCTCGACCCCGCCAGTGGCACAAGTGAGGCTGGCGGGGACGAGGAGCAGGGCCTTCTCAGTGGTGGCCCCCCACCTGTGGAACTCACTCCCCGGGGAGATCAGATCGACGACTTCCCTTCTAGCGTTTAGGAAAAAACTAAAGACCTGGATGTGGGACCAAGCTTTTGGCCATGCTGACAACTAACTAAAGGACCTGTCGATAGACAAGGACAATGGAATGGAATGGATATATGGACTCTGATATATGGACTCTGACATGAGATAGTTTTTATGATTTTATTAGGTATTGATGTTTTATTTTAATTGTTGAATTGTTATATTTTGTATTGTTTGTTGTGTGTTTTGGGCATCTAATTGTGCCTTTCCTGTAAGCCGCCCTGAGTCCCCCTCGGGGTGAGAAGGGCGGGGTATAAGTAGATGAAATAAATAAATAAATAAATAATATGTGTGATTGAATTCTAATCAATCAAAAGTGTTTATGCTGTCATTTCATAAATAGGTTTCTCATTACCCTCTATTTTTTTAAAGTAGGGGAAAGGCACAGAGTTAATTCAAAATGCCCAACTCTAAAAGGAAATCTCGGCAGAGACATAAAGTTGGCCAAGAAACTGGAAGGCGTGAATTAGTCTCCAGATCACTACAAAGTGCTCAGCATTGTATGGAGAATCAAGATTTTGGAACTGCATATGCTCACTATCTCTTGGTATTAAATCTGGCTCCTGAACTTAAAAATGAGGTCAAGGTAAGGAATTCTTTTAACCCCTCCTCTCATAGGTATATACAGTTCTTGTCTCATGGAATCTATAAAATACACAGAAAATTATATACATACAGTACATTGTGGGTATTACAGCTTTTACATTGTAAAAAGAAAAACAAACAAACAAATTCCCTCAACTTATGTATAATTATCCATTTCCTTTAGGAAACATTTCAGTTTGCCCTTTTTAAATGGGCAGAAGAACTGGATTCTCTGGCTCGTGTTAAAGATTTATTTGCTTGCTATGAGCATGCCCTGGAATTGTTTCCCAATGATGAAGTCATATGCAACAGCATGGGGGAGCATCTCTTCAGGTTCGTAGTTAACTTTATATTGTATTTTGAGTACATCTTCCAACCCAGTGATTCCAAGTCCTTTGAATTCCAGGCAGTCTCCGAGTTACAAACATCCAACTTACAAATGAGTCATAGTTAAGAACGGGGGTGAGACAACAGGATGTGAGAGAAATCTACCACTCAGAAAGGAAATTCACTCCTGAAAGTGTTATCATGGGAAAAGCTGTCTCCACTGTAACTTTACTACTGGTCTTTGTTTCCATGATAAGCCATTTTTTTTCAAAATGCAATCCTCTTAGGGACAGAAAGTGAAGTGAAATCTTCTGAACAGGGGAACAGACAGCAAAACAAACACCACAGGGGTGTTAACCCTTCCCTGTGCACACATGTGCGCTCTCTCTCTCTCTCTCTATATATATATATGGCTGGGGTTACACTTAAAAATGTTCCTGTTCTGACTTACATGCAAATTCAACTTAAGAACAAACCTACAGAACCTATTTTGTTTGTAACTTGCGGACTGCCAGTACTTTGCAAAGTATTTAGTTTTAAATCCACAGATACCCACAGTGTAGTTACTCCTCAGTAAAGCTCAGAAATATAAGATTTTGTGAAACTAATCCAAACAATGTTACTTCTGTCTTTGATCCATTTAAACTTACCAGACTCAATTTTAAATGCTCAGATTTCCACCAGTCGTATCACAAATGTTTTTATGAATTTTGTAGTATTTTTATTTTTATTTCATTTCTATTTAATTTTCATTGTATGCATTCACTTGGTCTTTAAATCTATTCTCGTGACAGTTCTTTGTGTAGATTGCCACTATATTTCTTGATCCGTATTCCAGGTTCCACATGGACAATAAGGCATCTCAAAAATCCATTACAAATCTGTGATCTGGCAACAGTCAATCTTTTTTTTGATGTTTTGATCAGATATGTGATAACTTGCCTTCATAATGAACTTCGGTCATTTACACAATTCAACTCAGGTTTGACTGCGACTCAAATGTGTCCATGATCAAAATTATCCTCTTACGCAATTCTAACATCATGCCTCCACCAAATACAGATGTTTGCTGATATTTTATCATTCAGGAATTTACTTTCTAACTTACCGCTTTATGTCGATTCTCTTTATCTCCCCTATTAGAATGGGTTTTCGAGACGAAGCAGCTGCATATTTCTATAAAGCCGTGAAATTAAACCCAGAATTTCCAGATGCAAAGGAGAATTTTTACCGTGTTGCCAACTGGGTGGTAGAACGATGGCACTTCATTATGCTCAATGACTCCAACAGGAATTTGCTTTATCAAAGTGCAATCCAGAAGGCAGTCCATTCTGGATGCAGAAGTGTTCTTGATATTGGGACAGGAACAGGAATTCTCAGGTCTGTTGTAACTTCATAGTTGATTTTAATATGTTTATCTGTACTCGTGAAGATCTGAAATATTTATCTGTTTTTGAACTTAGATTTACTAACTGTTCTTTTATTGCCCCTACTTTGTTGGGAAATCATTAGGAAATAACTTTCATTGAACTCAGTGAGGGATTCGTTCTCAATTGTTCTATTTTAAACTTCTTCACTAATGATGCCAAATTTGGAGTTCACTTTTGCTACAGCAGCTGCATACATGGTTGATAATTTCATTGACATTTTCTATCATAACTTCCTTTCTTGGTCATTTACTGCCACCTCAAATGCTATATGTCAGTGGTTCCCAACCTGTGGTCCGTGGACCACCAGTGGTCCCCAAGAACTAAAATATGGTCCATGGTATCACTGTTACTACACCATTGCAACAAGAGCAACTGGTCTCTTGAAACCCTCTTATAGTGCCAAGGCATATTAAATATGGTTATGTGTGGACGAGCAGATGGCGATTACTGCATGGCATATGTTCTATATCAGAAACTAGAGCTGATGTGGCCTATCCAATGTAATTTTCTGGATCAGCATCCCAAGTAACCAAACCAAATCTAAAGTTGACCAAAAAGTGATTCGTAACCCTTTTGGTACTAATGTTGGAGAGTTGTCCCTGGTCAAAAAAAAGTTGGGAACCAATATTATTTGTATATATGTAAAGTAAGGATTTTTTTGTTCCAATATGCATCATTTTACATGTAGTTATGTCGAATCTTATTGCTGATTTACCATCTCGTTTAGTGAAATTTTCTGAAGCTTTTACCATCAAATAAACCTCATTCTGCAGCAATAATATGTGTTTTCGTTATTAAACAGAGTCTTATGAATTCTTACAATTGCAGCTAGTTAGTTCCAGCTCAAAAAGGATCTATTTCAATTGCAAGTTAAGGATGGGTTTTGGGAATTAATTTTAAACAAATTTGCCAGAAATTAGACAGATTTTAAAAACAATTTCTGTTGGTTATCTTCCAATTTTTTAGCATGTTTGCTAAAAAAGCTGGAGCATCTTCTGTCTATGCTTGTGAATTGTCGAAGACCATGTATGAATTGGCTTGTGAAGTGTTAACTGCAAATGGTTTCAATGGACAAATCAAACTTCTTCACATGAAATCCCAGGATATTGAAATTCCAACACATATGCCGGAAAGGTTAGTTTTTATATATTACTACAAATATTTAAATGAATGATTTTATTGTTTGTTCATTGCTTTTTAACACATTGACTATTTTTGTCTAATTTTCAACAGTTGAACTGGAAAAGTATGCAACGAATGTTCCCCTTTTTAGCAACCCTTGCAAACGCAGATTTTTATTTTTATACATTCATACTCAGGGTCATATAAAAATTATGGGACAGAAAGAGGTTGTAAGTGGGAAAAGTCTAAGAAACTCCGTTTTAAATAGCTGTTTCAAAACTTTGCTGGCAAATTTGAACATAAATAACCAATTTTGTACTGCGGAATTGATAGCTGGTTTAGAAAGGGTTGCTTGGAAGTAGTTCAAGCCCAGATAGAGCCAGACTGCCTGACAGCAGAATACTGTTAATGTTGAATTTCTGACTTGCTTTCTTTTATCATTGAACAGAATAGCTTTGAGTGATCTGCTGAATTACTGTTCTCTTTTTATACCTGCACCAGAGTTTCTCTGGTTATCACTGAAACAGTAGATTCTGGTTTATTTGGAGAAGGAATTGTGGAAAGCTTGATCCATGCTTGGGAGTATTTGCTTTTACCACCAAAGGTAAATATCTGAGTTTGCAATATCTAAATTCTTTTGCATTGTGGCTTATATGGAGATTGTGCTTTATATTGAGGGTTGCAAACAAAAATGAAGCAATTGACTGTGGTCTGTGTTGTATCACATTATAAAAGCTGATATATAAACAATGCACTGGAAATGTGAAGCATAAACAGCACTCATGCATATGCAAGCCTTCCATGTCACATGGTCAGCTGGCATTCGAATCATCCCATGCAGTCCAACAGATCTACATGTGAAAGAACATTCAAAAGTCTTCCTAGATAAAGCAAAGCCGAACCGTATAGTTGTAATCTTTGGCAATGGTAAAGTTTTGATTGCTCTCCTCTTGTTCACTGCAAGTTTTGCTCTCCATTCTAGTCTTCAATTTTTGGATCTATGTTTAACTTGCATTGCAATCGTAAACATCTACCCAGCATTGCAATGCTTTTTTCCTGACATAAAAAAATGCCACAGAACTATGAAGGTGACTTTTTTGGCACTAAGACAAATAACACAAGCCAATAAAATCTTTTTTTTTTTGTAATAATCAGAAATGAGAGTAGCACAGTTTAAATAATTTTTAATGCTGATTTTAAATTTGTCTTTATTTTTTCCCATCACGTCAACTTTTTAAAATATGACAAATGGTAAATTACAGCGGACTAATGTAAAGTTTGCACATTTCACATCATATTAATGTAACACAAGCCAACAAGTATTTTTCATCAGCTGTTTTAGGTCATTCTTACAGTTTTTTGCATTGAATTCAAATCTGTTGTTGTTTTTTCTATCGCATGTCATTTTTGCGATGAGGCTAATGTAATAATTAAAGCATTTACGCACTGATATCAATAGAATATAATTAACCACAAACCAACAAGTTTATTTCATCAAATATATAATTTTAGGTCATTCTTATAGAGTTTTTTGTGCTGAATTCAGATCTGTGTTTATTTTTTCTATATCACGTGGAGTTTTTGCAATGAGGCTAATCTAATTAATGCATTTACGCACTGATATTAATAGAATCAAATTGGTATCCATGCATAAATACATTAATATTTGATGCAAAAATTACACATGATAGACAAAAATTAAATACAGATCTGAATTCAGTGCAAAAAAAACCTCTATAAGAATCACCTAAAACTGTATCTGATGAAAAATACTGGTTGGCTTATATAATAAGAGTAGCAAGATACACACTTCAGTAGTTGAAGAGAAAATAAAGTAATGCATAGGTTTGTCCCATTCTAACGATTTCCAGAATCTCTTGAATCTCACTTGCAGACCCACAAACATGTCATCTCTAAAAATAAAAAATGACATGGTATTGATGATATTCTATATAATGTGTTCATAAAAATAATGCTAAGTACTTTATTTACTACACAGTAGAATCTTAATTTTTACAGCAAACCAAGGTATGTGCTAGGCCCAGATTTGGCTAGGTATAGACAACAATCTCTCATTGGATACACCTTATTAAGCAATATCAAAAAGAATAAAATTAAGATTTTAGTTTGGGGCACTCTGTTAGTTTAATCAACATATTCCTCAATGTGTGAACAGTAAAGATGGTCTTGTTGAAAAATTATATATATATTTGTTTGTTTTGCAGCCTATGGATTGCAGAGGTGATTCTGAAAAATATGGTAAAGTTATACCAGCAGGAGCTACTATATGGGGCATGGCAGTGGAATGCAAAGAGATCCGGAGACATCATAGGTATTCCTGAGCTATTCACATAATTGGGTAAAATGGTTTAAGCTGTAGAAGGAAAGAGGTTGTCCCATTTTTGAAAGAAGCATTTTCATATCCTATTGAGGGCTTTGATTGAACAATCACAATCTGTAGGTCTGAATGGAATATCACTGTATGGAAGCATATATGGCACTGACAGAAACATTGATCTCTCAATACTGAAATTTATAAATATGAATTACCTTTTGCCAAAATGGTACTAGTCCAAGGTATTTCTCTTGTAAACTGCCCTGGTTATTACTGAGAAAAAAGGATATATTTTACAACTAGGCAGATTTTAAAAACTAAGTCTCAAAAGTCTTTCTTTGATATTCCAATGATAAGTAGTTAGCTGGGAATTAAATCAGCTTATCATGCATGATTTTTAATTTTTAAAACCTGATTTTTTACCCAATCCTACTTTTTCCCAGTGTGGACATAAAAGAAATTGCTGGAGTCTTCTTGCCAGAAACATTATTCTTCCACAGTCCAACATATACATCTCTAGGCTCAGATGAAACCCTTGAACCTTACACCACGGAAAAACTCAGCAGAGTTCCTGGTGGCTATAAGGCCCTCACAAAACATTTCCAAGTTTTGACGGTCAACTTTAACGATCTGCAGGTAACTCTTTGTTCATTCAGAGCAAGGAAAATTGGGACAGATGTTTGTTTTTAAATAATGCTGATTACAAAGAGAATTTCTGTTAAAATAGGAAAATTCTTTTTGTTGCATGTACACATGTACTGTTTGTAATGTTGACTGAGACAACGTTTATCAATATATATTAGTCAACAGTCATACCTAGCGCATTTCATTGGCATAGGTAAAATTACTCTAGCCCTCTTGTCTATGCAAGAATTTTTTTGGTATAAAATCAATAAATTTCAGTTCCCCTTCATCTGATTTGATACCTAAGATCAATAGCTTGAGTAAATAGAAACTGTAATGCAGTTCTTCCACAGTATGTTGAGAATACTTTATATTAGATGCCTTTTTAACATATTTCTGTACCAAAAATCTTGTGGTGGTTTTGAAGCATCATTGGATTCAGAAAGGATGTCCTGCCAGTAAGAAGTACGAGCGTTATCCAGAAAGTAAGGTTACAAGGCACGTAGCTCTCGCGGGGAATTTTCTCAGAAGAAGTTGGTATCACTGCCGTGTAGTGGGAAGCCAGTGGAAGTGAATGAGCAGTGCCAGTCATCAGTAGCTCATTGATTGGTGTTGTGGTGAAGGTTAGAGATGAGCGTCCTCATTCCGTTTCCCTCCAAGTATGAAGTTCGCACTGTAATACGCTACCGAAATGCTAAGGGCATGAATGCCGTTGTGTTTCATTGCGAAATCGTTCAGTTTATGGAGAGGACGTAATGTCAAGACAGCATGTGACAAAATGGGTATGGACCATGAAGAAACTTCGCAGACCCATCCGAAACAAACGTCGTGGGATGCTAATGGCAGGAGTCAGTCTCCTTCATGACAATGTGCAGGACACACACCGCTCAAGCAACACAAGAGTTGTTGACTTCATTTGGTTGGGATGTTTTAAGCCACCCCTCTCAGAGCCCCGACCTCGCACCCTGTGACTATCATCTGTTGACTACATTGAAGGAACACCTTGGTGTAAAACATTTTTCTGACGAGGAGGTGAAAATCGAAGTGACAAACTAGCTGAAAAAGGCAGAGGGAAACTTCTATGACACAGGCATCAAAAACTCATTCCACGAATTACAAAATGTATTGAACTGAATGGTGATTATGTGGAAAAATAATGTAATGCCTATGCTACAATCATGTAAGTTTTATTAAAATATATTCATTCTTTGTATTTTAAAAAAACCTTTTAACCTTACTTTCTGGATAACCCTCATAGATAGGAAGTCAAAAGTTATCTTGGGAAATATGGAAAGGAGAGAACAGGAGAATACAACAATTGAACCATAAATCTTGACTCTGTGTTTGATTACTGTTTTCTGTTTGACATCTGTGCACCATTAAGCTGCACATTAATACAAATGAGAGGATCTTGTGTTTTGCAGCCATTTCAATTTAATACATTTTCCTATTTGAGTCATATCATAAACAATTTCATATAAAGTGTAATCAGAATTGTAGTGCCCAGCAAATAAAAGAGGAGGGTGGTGAATAGAAGCAACTATCATTTTTGCTTTCATTCTTGAACAGGAGCTGAAAAGCTTTGCCATTAGGAAACCAACCAAGATCCACGTGCCTGTGATTGAAAGAGGAATCTTAGATGCCATTGTGGTCTGGTTTACGCTGCAACTTGATGATGAACACATGCTTTCTACAAGTCCAAAGGATGAAACCTGTTGGGAACAGGCTGTTTACCCGGTCCAAGGTCTCCTTGGTATGTCTGTGAGAATTTTTTTTTCAATACCATTAAAAATATTTTATTTAAATAATGTAGCCATTTCTTTACCATTCTTACTACCCAAATGAATATAAAATGTGAAGGTCCCCAATAGAACAAATGTGTTGTGTGAGTGTTATTTGATGGTATGGTATTACCAGTCAGATTTGCGAACAAAGTTAGTTGAGTCAGTAACTTAGGCAATGCCACCCAAGATCGGTTAGCATTAATTGGTTAAATGAAAACTATGATTGATGGTATCTAATAACATTTCATGTTAGTTTTATGGGGAAAATGTGCTGATGCAGCTAATCACACTTTATGTTTTGTCGTTTTTATTGTTATGATGCATTTTTGAAATAGTTTTAGAGTTGGGTAGCTGCATGGCCCAACTCCAGAAGCAATCTCTTGACGTTTCGCCCTCCCCTATGGTAGGCATCCTCAGAGGTTGTGAAGTCTGTTGGAAATTAGGCAAGTGGGGTTTATATATCTGTGGAATGTCCAGGGTGGAAGAAAGAACTCTTGTCTGCTTGAGGCAAGAATGAATGTTGCAGTTAGACTTGAATGCATTGAATGGCCTTGCAGCATCAAAGCCTGGCTGCTTCCTGTGGGAATCCTTTTAGGAGGTGTTATCTGGCATTCAACAACACAGTTTTAGAGGTTTTGTCATAACACTTCAGTGTTGCAGTATAGAGTGCTACACGATAGAGATGTTTTTATCAAGCCTGGAATCAGCTTTGCACTGCTACAAGAAACTACTTAGGCCTATTTTCTTTACATTTACAGATAGCTGCAGAAGCAGTACCAAAATCTGTGCAACCAATACATATTTTTGATATAGGCAATGTCATTTCTAAAGCAGCCATACAAAAGACACATGAAAAACAAAATTAAAAGCAAATAACGTATTTCATTTGTCATTTTTTTCCGATTTTAAGATTACTCCGTGAAATGTGGAGATTCTGTTACAATGGAGGTATCATGCCAGGACTGTTATGTAAGGCTCCAAAAGATTTCTCTTGTGACTTCTGAGGATGAGATGGATACTGAGAGGAACTTGAGGGAAAAGAACAGCGAGGCTGAGCTATGCAGTGCTCTGGCCAGCCTTCAGACAGAAAGTGCACTGGAAAAACCGTGGCTGGAATGCAAGCTGGAATCTACTGAGATTGCTTTACTAAACAATCTGTCGTATCACGAATGTTTTAAAGCTGCCATAGGCAAAGTGCTGTCGTCATTAAGTATGTCAGAACAGTCTTCCTCTATGGATGTGGACAGTCAAAATGATGAAATGTATCTTGGAAAAGGTCAAAACAAAAAATCTGTGACTCCTGATCCTCTGTATGTGTTGGATGTGTCGGAAGGATTTTCAATCTTGCCAGCAATTGCAGGCAAATTTGGGCCAGTGAAGACATACAGCTCTGTTGAAAAGGAACAGCACCAAACAGCTCTCAACCTCATTTCAGAAGCTAACAGATTTCCTAAGGAAACATTAGAGTTTTGGCTCAACCACTTACAAGATGACAGTGTGGTTTTGCAGAGGCCTAAGTCTGACAAATTATGGAGTATTATAATTTTAGATGTCATAGAGACATCTGGTCTAATTCAACAGGATGTAATGGAAAAGGCAGCAATATCCAGGTAATGTGTAAATAAAAACCTTCTGAACTGTATTTTTTTTTTTAAAAAAAATCACATTTTGACCACTTTTTCCAACTTGTCTATAAAATCTTTAAGTGACTGGTGAAACCCCTTTAGAAATAAAAGCTGACTAAACAGGTATTGGAACCTGCTTTGCTTACTAGTGAAGTTATATGCGGTAGACACGAAAAAAAGAAAAGAAAAAGGACAGAATAGGATGTTGTGGGTTATCTTATACTTTCAGATCTCAAAATAGGTCAAAGCTAAGTCTTAACATCCAGTCAAGCTTGTTATTTAAAGTATTTTAAACAAACCTTTTTTGAAGGCCTCAGTTAAGGATTGACAGATTTGAGGCTGCAAAGCCTCTAGCAAAAATAGCACTCACAGAAGATAGCATTTAAAAAAAATAGGATGGCTTAGGCCCAGAATTTGTTTTCTGCATCAAGACTAACTTTTGCCATTTTTTTCTCACAAAAATCCATCCCAGGTTTTCTGTTTTCTTTATTTCAGCCTATTTTATATACCATAACTTTTGCCATTTTTTTCCTCACAAAAATCCATCCCAGGTTTTCTGTTTTCTTTATTTCAGCTTACTTTATATATGGTATATAGATACTCGAATATAAGCTGAGGCACCTAATTTTACCGCCAAAAACTGGGAAAACGTATTGACTCAAGTATAAGCTGAGGATGGGAAATGCAGCAGCTACGAGTAAATTTCAAAATAAAAATAGCTATCAATACAATTATATTAATTGAGGCATCAGAAGGTTAAATGTTTTTGAATATTTACATAAAACTTTAAGAATGTCGAACTCTCATTAAATCATTATTCTAACCTTCAATGTAAATGTGCTTACGTATCCTTTAACAATAATAGATCAAAATAATAAATGTAATAATAATAGAGTAAAATAATGGAAATGTAATAATAACATTAATAAGAGAGTAAAATAATAAATGTAATAAAGATAATAATAACAGAGTAAAATAATAAATAACTTTGACTAGAGTATAAGCTGAAGAGGGCTTTTTCAGCCTAAAAAAGGGCTGAAAAACTCAGCTCATTCTTAAGAATATACGGTATTTGAGTGGAGACTTTTTGTGATTATTATGCTTAATCAAATAAGAATTTAAACCCTTGTAGATCAACTGCATATTATTCAGAAATGTGTCCACCATGTCCTAAATCTAGTTACTATTTATTTTGCAGAAAGCAAGAAGAAATAGCCTTAACACTTTACATGTTTATATTTTCCGCATACAGGTGTTTGCTTCACTCTGGAGGCAAGATCTTCCCACAGTATGTGAAGATGTTTGGCATGCTCGTGGAATCAAATTTGCTAATACTTGAGACTGCAGTTCAAGGGACAGATCTCACACTTGGTTTCAATATTGCACCGTTTATCAACCAGTTCAAGGCATGAAATTACCGCAAGTTTCATTCTCCATTTTAAAGATTCTCATAGAAAGGGTTTCTATCCTGCCTTTAGGTTTATCCCACACACCATAGTTCCCTCCATTCGACATGGTCACTTGATCTTTTGTAGCATTTGCAGGGCTATTTGGTGAAATATACTTCAGGCTTCACAGTTGCAGATTCCACTCTAGTGATGGTACTAGAAACAAATGTAGAGGACAGCATTATATATATTTTTAATCCCAATATAACTTTTATAATTCAAATGACTCAAATCTTGATGTGGTATGGAGAGACTCAGATGTAGAATTTGCAGTGTAGGATTTGTGACTGTGATCAACATTAGAAGTTCCATTAAGTGTGTATCAAGGCCTAACTCATTTTTTTCATGTGTTACTGCATTTTCAGATAATTTTTTAAGTTTCACATTAATAAGAGTTTCTGACTTTTCAACAGTGATATATATGGGAAGTAGGATATTTTTTGTTAATTTCAGAGAAAAACTTGCAAACTTCTTCCTTCTCATGACAGTCAATAGGGTGATGTGTATAGTATTGAATTAACAAATTATTATCTGTTGACAAGAAGTATAATTAATGGATCAAGCAGCCTTGAGCCATCAGTAGAGTAGCCTGATTGTGGGCTGCTATTAAGGGTTGGGGAGGTAATTTGCTTCTATACAGGGAGCACACAACCCCTCTGTTACATCACCTCCACTGTCTGCCTGTCTGCTACTAAGCACAATTCAGAGTGCTGGCTTTAGCCTATAAAGCCCAAAACAGTTCCATCCCTGCTTACTTGTCCAAACACATCTCACTCTATGAACCACCACAGAGGTTAAGATCTTCTGGGGAGGCTCTACTCTCAGTCCCGCCTCAGTTCTAAATGCCTTTGGCTAGTAAAATAACATAGTACAAATAATAATTAAGGAACATGTAGAATGACAATCTGAATGGCTATGGTGTACAGCGTTGTTGTTTTTTTTAGATTATGTGATTTTAATATTTATACTAGGATGATTTTAATGCTTTGAATGTTTAAATTTTGTTTATGTTTAATGGCTTTAATAATTTTAAGTGAGTTATATGTAGTAATGTATCGTCAAAGGCTTTCATGACCGGAATCACTGGGTTGTTGTAGGGTTTTTTGGGCTATATGGCCATGTTCTAGAGGCATTCTCTCCTGACGTTTCGCCTGCATCTATGGCTAGCATCCTCAGAGGTTGTGAGGTGAAACGTCAGGAGAGAATGCCTCTAGAAGATGGCCATATAGCCCGAAAAAACATACAACCAAGTTATATGTAGTAATTGATTTTTATGATTTCTTTGTGCTACTGTATGCTGGCATTGAATTTTTGCCATTAATATGTTGTAAACCACCTTGAGTCCGCCCAGGGGTGGGGAAGGCGGTATTTAAATACAATAAATAAATAAATAAATAAATAAAGGACCTTATAGTTTGAAATGCACCATACTCAGATGTTTTGGTAAATAATTTTTAACGAACTTAACCCCAATGACACACATCAAGCAGTGAAGATGGTAGTTATGTTAGCCATTTTTTTAGTAAAAAAAAAAAAAAAGAAAGAGTGGCATATAGAAGGCAGGGAGGAGAGCATAGGCAGCTCACAGACTACAGTGTCCCCACTCTTGGTTTAGCAAGGCATTTGCTTGCTCACAGTATGGGTTAGTGCTATCAGTTTTGAAGGCCCAGATCAGCAGGGGACATAGTTAATTCTCTTTTTGAAAACTCTTATGAAGTCTTTAAATAAAATCTCAAAAAGCAATAATGACATATAATCCATTATATTTCAGGTGCCTTTCCGTGTCTTTCTGGATCTCTCTACTCTACCACATGTGCCTTTAAGCGAGTCAGTGGAACTTCTGCGAGTGGATCTCATGACCCCATATTTGAATAACCCCACTAGAGAAGTGAAGGTAAATCGAGAAAATAGTAGATAGTGTGCAGTGCTGTTTACGATGCTTGATATTTTTGATTATACTATTATTCTTTTAAACTGTCCCTTCGCCACAGCAGAACGATATATTTGAAAAAGAATAAGGCCATTGTTATTAACTGATGTCGTTAACTAGTTCAGTTAAGATAGTTAGATGAAGACTTACTGTTTATCAAATACATGAACACATAACATTGACTTGAATTGTCTGTCCCAACTGCCTTAGACTTACTGAATCACTAGAATTTATATTTTCTATTTTTTACATTTTTATTGTTCATCTGATTTTGCATCCAGAGACGTTATAATATTGAACAATATTTTTTTAAAATTGTACATACATTGAAACAAACGTATTTATGTGGATTCAGTGCTTCTATTCTAGTTGGTGAACCAATAGGATTTAGGTAGTAGGCTCTGTACATGTTGCCTCTTTTCCTGTTTAAATTTCTTGATGCTGGCTTTTGTATAATTATAAGTACTCTTCATCTCCTCATCTGTGATAAACTTGCAGTAAAGGTGTCGGTATGCGAAAACAAACAATAAACATGCCCCGCTGTGGCTATGGTGAGGGCTGGGTTAAAGTGTTAAATTCCCATTTGATGATCCAGAAGTATTGTCTAGAGCCCTGCTTTTTAAATTGTGGGTCCCAACCTCCAATGGGGTCCCCTTAGCTCAGTGTTACAGTCCTGAAAAAAAAAATCAGCCTGTTTAGCAAGCCTTGCAAATGCTTATTTGTTATCAGTAAATGTTTGATTTTTATACCTATATCTATTTTGTAATCTCTTTGCCCAGAGTCATGTCAAACTTTATTGGGCCGAAAGGGGTGCGAGTGGAAGAGTTTAAGAAGCCCTGGCCTAAAGTGCTTGAGGCCACATTCTTAGAATAATCCACAGTTGTCAGGATATTTCTTCAGACTAGTTGATCAGATCTGAAGACCAGAACTCCAGTTCTTTTTAAACTGTTTAAATTGAACTATACTTAGTTGGACATTAGACTAGATAAAATTAAACATGAAATCAGCAGTGAAACTTTCAAAGAAAAGCCGTAAAAACATGATTTCAAATGTGAACATGCCCCACTGTAGGCTACCTATGTGAATGATCATCCCTAGAAGGTCAAAGGAGCAATCCATTACCAGTTTTGGCTGCAGTAACATATGAACACAGACAAAAATACATACAGTTGGTCCTTAGTATCCACTGGGATTTGGTTCCAGCATCCTCTGTAAATATTAAAATTGGTGGATGCTCATTATAAATGATTGCATAGTAAAATATAGTTCCTTATATAAAATAATGAAGTCAGGGTTTGCTTTCTGGATCTTTAAAAAATATTTTGAAACCATGGATGGTTAAATCTGTGGATACAGAATCTGTGGATGTGGAAAGCTGTCTGTACTCTGAATCTTTGTATGAATAATTCTTAAGGAGATAAACGTGAAGGGGAGAAAAAAAACCAATGCTTTAAATAGATCTGGAATGTTGGTCTCCTGCCTTGATTAGCTGGTACAAGGGATTGTCTCTATCCCAATGGTTGTGGCTTTCAGCCTTCCTGGAATAATCATTCATGTTAGGTATCAATCTCTCAAATAGCATATTTTCTGTGGTTTCTTTCAACAGAATCAAACAATAACAACTTGTTTTTTTGTAAAAGAAATACTAATTCTTGTAATTTTTTTTACTTTTGTAGGTAGCTGTTTGTAAATCTGGTCAAGTGACTGGCATTCCCTTCTGGTATCATGTGTATCTGGATGAAGAACATGTTTTGGATACGTCAAGCGAATTCTCTCACTGGAAACAAGCTGCAGTTGTGTTAGATAAGCCGATTCAAGTTCACGCAGGAGATGAGCTTGTACTCAGCGTTCAGTATCACAACAGCAATATAAGCATAACAGTAAAACAATGAATTGCCACCACTCAGTTGATTTTTAATGTTTCAGTGTAAACAGAAGCCAAAAAATTGTTATGTTTACATACCTGTTAATCCTGCCTACAGCCAGTGTTTAGTCTATTTTGAGCTCTCATACAAATCAGCATAACATGTTTAGCAAGAACGATGTGTATAACTTTAATTCATCAAAACTATGAATTAAAGCACAAGAATTAGAGAGCACTCTATTTTCATGGATCACTGGCAATATAAACTGTGTATGCAGATTAATGATTGTTGAAAAGCCTTATCTGCCATTCTTTATACTGTCTCTGGAAAACTTGTATAAATTACTGTAAAAGGTAAGATTAAGGAAGGAATTCTACTGCATAGAATTCATAGTGTCATTCTTTGAAGGTCAGCAAAGTAATGAATTGTCTGGGTAGTAACACTGGAGTGCTGTATATATCCTATTGATTTTGCTTCTACTGTTCCCTGAAGAAAGGAAGATGCTCCTTTCTAAAAATATTTAAGGACTATCAGTAAACCTCGTGTCTTGTATTCAAAAGCAAAACCCAAAGGTGATGTCTTTGCTCATCTCTGCCATAACATTGAGATGTTTCAAGTTTTAAACCCCTTCTATTAAAATTTGTAAATACAGACTGGTTTTATATAAGATTTGGAAATGTCTTGGTTTAAGAGACCGTATGAATGGAATAAGTAACTCTGGTTTAGCAACACTCAGAAATGATTTGAGAGAACAAAGGAAAAGAGCAGAGGATTTGGACTTACTTCAGTAACCAGTTTTCGTTGAAGTGTTCTCACAAAGAAATCAATTTCATGTCAGAAACATAATGCAGTTTACCTTCATTTTACCTATCAGCTAATGTTACAACAAAAGGTTTGGGAAAACTGTATTGGAGCAGCTGATTAAAAAAAAATCCAGGGACAAATGTTACCTAACCATACTGAATTGGAGAATACACTAGCCTATTACTTTTTTAAAGGAATTTCAAACTGCAGAAGTTGCAAGTAGTTAACAAAACTAAAGATTCAGACGGCATGGAGTTTTGGGAACTTGTAAATTTTAGGTTGGGGTACAGGTAAGAGAAACTAATTCTTACCCTTGGTGTGACCATAGAAGCAAGAGGCGACTCACTATGAAGTGTTTTTCCCAACATACTTAAACTGGACTCAGTAGCATTCCTCATGCCAAGATCAGGCCTGTAGTTAAGAATTACCTTTTTCACAGGACAAAGAAAGAAATAGGGTCTAGACAAGCCAAGGCAGTTATACTTGCCTCTCGGCACTAAAGAAATACAACTTAAAAGTTTAAATAAAATTTTATTTGTTTATGTACAACAAACAATGGAGAAACATGATTTACCCCTTTAACAAGAATCACTTAAGGACACATTAAATTAGCATAAAATATGCAGCCTAGTGAATAAGGCCAAATATTTACAAACACACTAGTACTGCAAAAGCACTTGCAACATGAGTTCGCTGTAGCAGCCACAAGTTCAATTAAAACTCCAAGTATCTTAACATTTGGTTTTCTGAAGATGTCACTTTAAAATACTAACCTTGCAGCTTTTTATATGCAGGTAAGACCGTTCAAGCACGTAGTGCAGATACAAATGTGAAACTGGGTTAGAAATCCCACTGGTTAACTATATGGGTTATAAGTCCTTAGAGCAATACTTATGTGTTACATTCCTGTATCTTACAATGGAGTTACATAAATTACTTGATTCTATTTAAGACAAAATTTTAGAAGGCAAAACTATTTTGAACTCAAGAGGCATTAAAATGGTTTCCACATTATGGAGCAAATGCTATTTGACCAGCAGATGAAGTGTATGTAACAGATAAATAAGAAATGCTTTTAGCTCTAATTATTCTGGCACATTCGATAATATACTGGAATGGGGAAAGAATGCTTTTGAAAGATTGGCTTGGAAAGGGAAATCAGAACCTGAACCCTCCTACTTGACCCTACCACTGTGGACAAGCAGGTTTTTAAACTACTCAACCTAATGTACTTACTATCATATGCCTGGAATCAGTTTCTTCTGATGCATACATCATTCACTCCATTTTGTCAGTGAAATATTGTAACAGCTGAATTCAATGATGGCCTCAATACCATATTATAGCAGTATATAATTCAACTATGTTCTGCAAAATAGCACGATATATACTTTCATTTGCAATTCAGACATTCATTACTTAAAATTGAATCCACCTGTGCTGTTAGTTTCACATAGTCCTTGGTTGCTCACATTCTTTTAAAAGAATGGCATTTCCAGGGCCAGAAAACAAATGTAGGAAACAATGCCTGAGCAAATCCCATAACATGTTCAAGGAGAGTGATTTAACTTTTGTCCATGGGCTCCTCTCTTTGAACAGGGGAACTCTCATTCTCTTCCACAGTGTTACAGAAGCCATCTGATGTTGGTTCAGTAGCCATTGTTGGAGTCACAGTATGCCCAAACCCTTGATAATGACCCACGGGTGATGATGGCATGGAAGAAGCGGCAGAAATCAGATCCTGAGTGGATGAAGAGAGCAAGCTTGTATGTTCATTCTGGTCAAGATCTTCACCAAAAAACATTTTCCTTGGTTGACCAAAAACTGTCCTTCCTAAAGGAAACAAGTTACGGGAAATTACTGTTTTTATATTATAATATATTTATATAATTTGGATAATACAGTTAAATGAACAGCAGTAAAATAACTTTAATGTGATGCTCATATCAAATCTGGGGGAAAATATTTACTTTCAGTATTACTTGCTACAGGAGCATGACATACGTTTCTAACTTACCAACGTTGCGAACCTGTTCAGTTACGTCTGCTCTAAGATCAGAAAGATCCCACATTGCAAGGAACGAATCAAAACAAGAGCCTTCTTCAGCTTCTTGCACATAAGGCTTGTAAGAAAAGCTGTAGTGATGAGCAATTGCTGCAAAGAACATCTCTACACAAATAATAAAATCCTGAAAGAAGAAAAGATTATTGATTCCTATACTATTACAAAATCATCCATCTTTCAGGAAAACCTAAGGCTTAATCAAAACAACCTCCTTTTTTGGAAACCAGTGTTATCTTAAATACACTTATGCATAGCAGCACCAGAAAACTACAATTACAAAATCTATTATTATTTGTATCCCTTTTTATCTCTAAAATAGACACTCAAAGTGGCTTACAGTAAAAACCAATACAATGTAAAACCTAAAAATATACAAACAGTAAAATAGAATTAAATAATGGTATTAAAAATAAATGGTTAAAAACTTTAAAAGAGATTAAAAACCTACTCATAGCGAAAACCACACCACCCCGACTTGACTGAAAATTAAACTATCACCTTTCCCACTTCTTCAGTAGATTTAGGAAATGTAATTTCTGTTCTGTAATAACTGCAACTATACAGATCACATAGATTCACTAGTTAACCTAGAAATGAACCTTAAGATTATTATCACTAGGTTTGCCTGTCACCTTACTGGAATGTGTGTTTAACATTTTAAGTGCTGACATATATATGCCTGTATGTTGATAGCTAAAAATTCTTACGGTAGTCTGAGCAATTTAACTGGGAGAGCATTAATTAACTTTAGCTATTACACATTTCCAGTGAGTGAAGCATGACTGACTGTAAAGCAATCGGCATGAAGGGCTGCGGAGTGTGGAGATTTACATTTTTAAGCATTGATCCTACCTGCAAGGAGAGGCATGTAATAAACGTATTATTATTACTACTACTACCACTACTTGCCTGTAGACCAGTCGCCACAGCTTCAACACTTTGCCATTCCCATGTCCGTTTTTCAGAGATTACACCGACTTTCACCAGTAATGCAATAAGTACAGCTTGCCTAGTAAAGAAATTCACATTAAAACTCATGTAATAATAATAATAATAATAATAATAATATTCCACTTTTCTCCCTCATGGTACCCAAAGTGGCTTACAACATAATACAAACTCTCCAAATACATCAATGGTAAATGTAAATCATCATAAAATAAGCAATTTAAAAACAAACTACAATATACATATAGTCCTCAGTTGAGACTGTAAAGCTCATTAGTCCACAGCATACATTGTAAAATTCTTTAGTCCCTAGTGGAGAGACTATAAAGCCCATTGGTCTGCAGTTTCAAGACTGCAGATCCCGTCCAATTTTCAGGTTGCAAAGAACGAACTGACCAGGTCTTGCAAGACACAACAACACAAAAACGATTAACTATATACACGTTGAAGGGGTCCAAAGGGGTCTCAGACTTTGGGTTCGAGCACTATATCCAAACCATGGTATAAGCTCTGGTATACAGTTTCAGTAATCAGAGTTTAAAAAACAACTAGATTTAACATGCAAAAAACACATATTATAAAATATGACATTAATAGAGTGGGAATATTAAATACACAACCTACAATTTCTATAGTAATTACTTTTAAAAAACAACAATGAAAATTCATCAGTCAGAATAAAAGAAGCTTTGATGGGCTGAGAAACATAAGTTGGAAATCGGCTCTCTAAGAGAAAAGCTCATCTGTTGTTTTGAAGAAAACACATTTTAAGGCTAAACAACAGAAAGTATTTTTCAGCACCACAGGTTTTGATGTGCAAGTATTACACCTCTCTTTGGAACTTACTGAGGATTAGAAGTTGTATAATGATACCCTTGTTCATTTTGAAGTCGTCTAATCTTTTAATTAACAAAATTAAACAGGAGGCAAGTTCAAGCATACAGGCTGGTCTGGTATTTCCATACTATATTTCTGTATGGTCTATTAAAACACAACAGAATTTGCTTTTGAGTAAGCATTTAGGGTTGTGCTGTCAGACAATAAAAAAAACCAGATGCAAGCAAGACTTCATACTAATATATGGTTGAAGACAAAAGAACAATGCCCATATATTTTTGACTTTTCATCACAGGTATTGACAAAGCTGTTTATAAAATGCTCACCAGAAGGAAACAAAAACCACCATCTTCACGCACAGAAATTTCCCCACAGGTCTAATTGGGTTCAGTTCATCCCGTAGTACTTTATAGAATAATACAAGACAGTACATCGCAAACTGAAATAGAAATAAACATATTTAGGACCTTTTTACTTAAACTGAGTACAACTTCAAGCAATTCTCAAGGCAAATGTATCAGCCCTATTCCAAACATGTGCATGAAAACAGTTTCTAGAGAGGGGCAGTAGAGCATAGCAAAATCCCTGTACAGTGAACACGATATTACAGACTCATTGCTGACAAGGATCATGGACATGTGCCACACTGCCATTAATTTTCTTTCACAATTCTACTAGACTTGTACAATCTAGTCAGGACACCTCTTTTCTAGAAGTCTACAATCCCATTTTATAGTATCCACACTAAAAAAAAGGCTAACTAAAATATAGCAACCCAATGAAATCATTAGGGATACAAGCATATTATAAACAAATAAAAATGTGTTCTGGTTTTAAATTAATTTTAGGGAGATGTGTAGTCTGTTTTAAAATCCATTTTTACAAAATTTTAGTCATGTGTTTTTAAACTCTTTTTATACAGTGTACATTACCTTGAGGCCGAGAAATTACTGAAATGGCTTAAACAACTAAAGAAAAAATTACCCATTTTAACACT